TACATAATCACAAATCAATATCTAGGGATTTCTAGATTTTTCAATTGGTATCAGAGCAGGTTGCTCGTTTGTTTTTTAAAACTTTAGAGCGAGATCTTGTTTGATTTGTGATAATGGATACAATTCGTGAAGGAAATTCTATGGTTCGACCACCCCTACTTGACGGATCCAATTATTCTTTTTGGAAAGCTCGGATGAGATCGTTTTTGAAATCTATAGATGAAAAAGTTTGGCAATATGTCATGAATGGGTGGACCAAACCAACAATTACCGTTGATGGAGTTACAATCCCCAAACCAATTGATAAGTGGGACACAATTGATTACCAAAATAGTAGTTGGAATAGTAAAGCATCAATTCTCTCTTTTGCGCTGTCACACCTGAAGAATTTAGTCGTCTTTGTAATTATGAAGTCGCAAAAGAGGCTTGGGATATCTTACAAACTATTCATGAGGGCACTCCTTCTGTTAAACGCTCGTTAAACGTTCAAAACTTCAAAGGCTCACGTCTAGTTTCGAAAACCTTTCAATGAAAGATAGTGAGACCTTTGATGAATTTTATGCGAAGTTGAGTGATATTGTAAATTCTAGCTTCAATTTAGGTGAAAAAATTCCAGAATCCAAAGTTGTGGGCAAAATTTTGAGATCCTTGCCCGATCGGTTCCAACCAAAGTTACGGCTATTGAGGAGGCTCAAGATGTTGACAACCTCAAGCTAGATCAGTTGGTTGGAAATCTCCAAACTTATGAGGCACACAGGAATTTCAAAAAGAAACAAAAAGATATTGCGTTTAGTAGTGCTCATAAAGTTAGAGAGGATTCTGATGAGGATTATGAGATAGATTCCAAGATTACGGCTGCTTTTGTTAAACAATTTAAAAAATCTTTTTTGAAAAAGAATCATAATCTTTTGGAATCTACTCATACTCATAAATCTAAAGGCAAAGATAAATTCAAAATTAATTCTATAGCCAAGAAGGAAAAAGGAAAGATACAAGGGAACTCTGAAAGACTCCAATGCTATGAATGCCAAGGATTTGGCCATTTTGCTCAAGAACGCCCCACTCGTTTGAAGAAGAAGAAAGCCCTTGCCATCACTTGGGATGATGAATCTGAATCTGATGAAGATGAAAGTGACAATGAAGATCAAGGCGAAGAGGGACATAAACAATTCCTTACTTTCATGGCAGCTTCCGAAGCTGAAGGACAAACAGATTCTCCAAAGAGGTCAGTTGAGAATATCACTGATGATGAATCCTCGGAGAGTGATCATGAAGAGCTTGAGCAAGCTTATGAAAAGTTGTATAAGGAGTCTCTTAACTTATTCAAATTGAATGACAAACTCACAAAGAAACTCAAAGCATGTGAAAGTAAGAACGTCAAACTAAAGGAGGAGATTTCCGAGGCCAGGATTAATGCCATCAAGGTAGCTGATGATCGACAAGTTCTTTGTGCAAAACTGTTGACTTGTGAGACAGAGAGGAATGAGCTACTGCAAACCCATGCCATGTATGAAGAAAAGTTTGAATCTCTCGAGATGTCACAAGTTGCTTTGGAAGAACTAATGATCAAGAAAGAAGAAGAACTCAAGTGTGCCATGGTTACCATTGGTCTTTGGAACAAAGGATCAAAGACTTTGGACAATATCATTAGGTCTCAACAAATCTATTCTGACAAGAGTGGCATTGGCTTTTGTGGTAAGAAAGAGCAAAAACAGAGTGCTTTCACATCTCATGATACAAGAACTCAAGGAAAGGGAGAACAAAAAATTCAACATAAGGATGGACTTCTTAAACTTCCTAGAGTTGGTAAGGTAAAGGAAAAAAAGGTACACCCTGGACACCCTGTTTTTATTTGTCATCATTATGGTATGCATGGTCATATTCGCCCTTACTGTTATAAGTTGCATTGGAGAGTGTCTCAAAAGGGTAGAAATTCGAATACTTTTTGGGTTAGGAGACAACTTTACATGTCCAGGCAGAATACCAAGATTCACGAGGGTGTTCACAATGCCACGACATTTACCGAGACCGCTAGACCTAATTTTGTTAAGATCAAAAAGATTTGGGTGAGAAAACTTGACTTGTGTTAATTTTTTTTATTTGGTTTAGCTTTTGGGTTTTTGTGTGTTGTTTTTAATGAAAACAACACACAAATAATTTAAACACCCAATCTGTGTGTTGTACAAATGGTCTGTTTTTTATACAACCCAATCTATGTACTTGTGTCATGTATTCTATTTGCTTCAAAAAAAAATTCTATCTATAGTCACTTTGGCAAAGTTAGTTAGTGATGTGTGGTTTTTAAACACCAGTTTAACTCATCATTATTTTTATAATTTTTTACAGATAAATAATTTAATTTCAAAATCAGACACTAATTCTCTTATATAAAGTGAAACCCACACATTTAACAAGTCTCTTCTCATCTAAAAAGATTGTATTCGATTTCATGAACAAATGGTGTGCCATTAAAAAATTTCTAATTTTTGAATCACCCAAGGCAAAGGGATTCAAAAATAAGTTGAGTATGAGAAATTCCAGTTTAAGGAAGGGCTAGTAAAGCTGGATTTGGGGTGACGGTTTTGAGGGGTGCACAGTAGCCATTATTGTACAGTTAAATGGGCATATTTTGAGGTTCATTTCAATAATTCGAACCGTTCATATTTTAGAATATATCAAGTAAAATACACCTGCAAAAAAGTCAAGTTAATCGGATATCATTTACCTATTCATCCACTCACATTTGTATCTACAAAAATGAATAATAATTGTGATTTAAAGTATTAAAATGAAAACAAATGTGAGTGGATGAAAGCGTAAACGATATTTTTTTAACTTGATTTTTTACAGGTATGTTTTATTTGATGTATTCTAAAATATAAACAGCTCGGATTATCGAAATGAGTTCCGAACTAAACCCATTTAGCTACACAACAGTGATTGTTGTACATCCCTACACAGCAACCACTCCAAATCTAAGTAAACTAGGCTATAGATTGTATGAAAACCATTTACTTTTCCTAGTACAAAGGAAAGGACAATGAAACTCAGTTTAGTTTTATGAAAGTTTGCCTTGAAGAGTAAGCAATCCAGGCTGTAAAAGTGTTGTTGATGGTGAGTTAAGTGGCACGTACGTAACTACAAGTCCTTAACCCATCTTTCCAATCAAAAGCTGGCTCTTCCAAATCCAAAAACCAATCTGATCATTAACTTGTACAAAGTGCAGCCAGTTGAAAAAAGACTGGACTGTCTTGTTTAGTTCAGTAAGATTATATTATCAGGTTAGACTCAGGTCTTTTCCACTTCACCAATTAGTTTGGCATGTGAATTACGTCATAAGCTTCACTTTGATATTTATTCCATTTATTTTTTAGATTTCACTGTGTAAACCACCATACATTATACAAATTTTAAAAATCAGTATGATGTAATGTTATCGTCTTTATTTTCATACAATGTGCGATAAATATGATTTTACAAGTAAACCTAAAAAATTAACATAATAGATTAATAAAATAAGATCAATAATAAACTCACAAACCAAACTAGAGAGAAGCTCAGTTCATTTGATTCACATGATAATTTCTCTTTAATTGGAAAAAGACTGATTCGTCTAGTTTAGTTCAGTAGGCTATTATGGATTCAGTTTGATATAATAATCATAAATATATGATTTCATTATGTTTGTCTTGAAAAAATTCAAAATCCTATTTATTATCAATTTTTTGGAAGACAAATATTAAAAAATAATTATAATTATTATATCTAAATAATTATTTTCATGAATAATTTACGAAGTTCTACAAGATGAAAAAATCATATCATTAAAATAAACTCAATAATGAGCTCACTAAGCCTTCGTTTGGCATGCCAAGCTTTTTGATTTTTTAGCTATTTTAGTCACAAAAAAACAAAATAAACTTTTTAACCCAACAAGACAACACATCACATCCAACCCATAATCATTTCATTTTTTCTCTCAAAAAAGTCAAAAAGGCTATATCAAAAGAGGCCTTTTAACCCCAGATTAAAAAAATTAAAAAGTCAAAAAACCAACCCACGTGTCAAACAAACCCTAAGTCAAACTAGATGGGTTCAATCCTTTCCCTCAACTAAAGAGAGGTTCTTTTTTTTCTCAATCAAAAAAGAGCCAACTTTTGGCAACTATGTTAAACAAAATCTAGTCACAAGTAAAAGCACAAGATTTTTTGAGATCTTAGATTAAACATTAAAATGATGCCTTACTTTATTATAATATTTGGCAATAAGAATTTTTCAAAACCAAAAAATAAAAATTATGAGTCTTAAAAGACAAGTTAAATGATTTAATGGTTAAACCATCTCTTCTGGTTACTTCTTTTGGCTATGACTTATGTATTTGACATTTTTAGCCCAATAAACCCAAAAAAAAAAAAAAAAAACATTTTTACATTTGGCATACATCAAAAAGTTTAAAATATGATATCAATTTTTCTATAATAAAAAAAAAACATGAAATCAAATACATATTTAAAAAATAAAAATAAAAAACCCATAAAAAATCAACAAGCCAAAAAGCTAGTGCATTAAAATGAATGACAAAATGATTATTTTCTATTAAAAATTTTAAAAGGTAACAATGTTATTAAACAAGCCAAAAAGCTAATACACTAATCAATATAATGATAATTTTTTTATTACAAAATTTAAGAAGTAACAATATTACCAAACAAGCTCAAGCTTAAAAGCCATTACAGAAGCCAAAAAGCTGTTACTGTGAATTTTGAATTTGTGGAAGAATTTGTGAAGGCAAAAAATAAATGAAAGGGAAGTGAAAAGGAAAAGAACAATTTTAATTCATTATTTTTCCTTCTTTTTTCTCTACAATTCAAAATTTAATCACAATCACAGAGCCAATGCAAATCAAATCAACAGAGTCAAAACTTTAATATAGTCAAAAATCCAAAAAATTACTATTAAAAGTCAGTTCATTCTCTCTATTTTGTTTACACATCTTTTCGTAAAAAAACTCAAAAGCCACCAAAAAATCAATTTCCAAACAACCCAAGTAGTAATCTTTCAAGGTTGAGAAGCATAAAAACATTTATCATTACAACTCACACAAACAGGGTTTGTCAAACAATGGGTCGTTCAACAATTTCCAATTTTTTTCATTCAGGAAGCTTGTAAAAAAAATTGGAAAAAAAAAAAATACAAACAAACAAAACAAAACAGAGAGTTACAAATAATAAACATGGAGATTTCTACAAACACAAATATCAGAAAACCAATGTGACAAACCTGAACCAGGATCTAAGCCAATATTCTTGCCATTTAACCATCCCCACTTTCAACTGAGCTCTGCAATACATGGCTCCAAGTCAAGTTCACTCCCAAAAATGTTCTAACTTGCATATTTCATACATAGGCTTTAGCCACAAGCTAAGCATTTCCCTTGGAGGCATTGATTGAAGATCTCCACAGGATCAATGAAAGTCGCCTTTTAACTCATTGATAGCACACAAGGATTACAACTTCCTCAAAGCATACATCCAGAGGTTTGGATGGCCACAACAAGATAAAAAAATTTATTCCAGCAGGAAATCGGTCAACGAGATGTGTTACCTGGTGTTACATTGGTTAGACAAACGATCATTTGACAACATGTCAGTAATTTTTTAAATCCAAAATGAACAAAAACAACAATTATCAGGGGGAAAAAAGGGCAAATTTCGCTTTGCCCTTTCGTAAATTGCAAAATTGGGAAAACGACCAATGCAAAGATAAAAATGTCTACACCTGAACATTTCAACAATTGAACTTACCTGTCTATTCACCTGTTTCATTAACAAAATGGGCATAACTTAAATTTTCAAAAATAATTACTTACAAATGATAGTATAAAACTCAAACCAAAATAAAAAATAAAAAATTCAAGAAAGAGTTGTTACCAGAAAATAAAATTAAAAATCAACATAAGACTTTTGGCAAATGAAAATTTCAAATTATTGAACTTCTATGAGGAAAAATGTATTTCAATTTCAATATCATTTTGTGTTCACAATTTCATTTCAAAGTAGATATTTTACTAATTAGGCTTAATTGTGTCTCATAAGCATTCCACATTCTGACATTTTGAAGACTCAAGGCCAAGCTCGTTACAAACTAGAGCACAAAGTGAAGAATGAATTTCAATAATAATCCACAGTTTGCACTTTGGAGTTGAGCATTTCAGATATAATACACTCATGCTTTTGCATACACACACTTGAGCAGCTGAGTGTAATATCTGTCTTATGTCCAGTGTTCAACTCTTGCTATAGACCTTAGTTAATTTATTTTATGCTATATACAAAATTGATTGGAGGACTTTGACTTTAAACTCTTGGATTTGGTTGTGTCCCTTGTTGTCTGTGTCCGTGACCGCAGCATGTCCCAAGTGTCCCAGCGTGTCTAACACGTGTCCAGAGTGTGTCCATGTCCGACACATGTCAGACACTTGTACGTCACCTCCGGAGATGTGTCCATGCTTCATAGGTAGGTAGCATGTTCAAATGCGTATTGGGTCCATTCAAATGCAAGTTTGTTTGAACACATGGTGCTCCATTCAAATGTGCAGGTGTTTCCATGACTCTAGGTTAAAACAGTAGCTTCTCTGTTCGAACACACTAGCATTTCATTCAAACATGGGATCTTTAAACAAAGTAGTATTCCAGTAGGTCATCTGTTCAAATGCATGAATGCGTGTGTCTGTTCAGGCTATGTCGTGGAGACTTTTTCTCTCCTATTTTAGTTAAAATTCCTTGTGTCTATATATATGTGTATACATAGATCTTCATGATCACTATTAGAAAAAGGGAGAAGAGGATAATTTGAGTGCGTATATATATTTACTCATATTATCATATTTCTTTGTGATTTCTGTCTGGAGAGTATATATGCTTTGTGAGTGAGGGATTAGTGAGGTCCTTGAATATACACTACACAAGCATATAGTGCACAATCACTACTGGCATTGTATAAACTTGATATTGTCGATCAGTTGCTTGGTGCTGTGTTCGAGGGATGCTAGTGGGGAGAATAATCAGCAAAGTTTCAAGGAAGATCAGAACAAACGAAGGAAGAAGATTGAAACTACAGAACTGCTCACGGGATTCAACTAGATTGGATCAGTGTTATTAAAGGCGATAGGCGCACCATGGTGCCAAGGTCTCCTGGGGCCTAAGCTCAAGGCGCAAGGCGAGGCACAGGCTTCACCAAAGTGAGCCGCACCTTGTACAGAAAAAAATATATAATTTAATATAAGTAAATAATTTAGGGTTCAACATAAACAAAATGAAATGTTAAACATTTAGGATTTTTTTGGAGATTATGAATTAGGGCTAATTTTTCTTCTATCATTGATTTGGGGGTTGAATGCCTAATGTATTGGCATCTATAATAAGAGTAGGAATCTTCTGTAGTAACACCATATTAAATCAATTGTCAGATTTTAAACAAAACCAATTAAAGTAACAATAAAAAAAACCCTCAAGACGCAAGCTTTGGGCCAATCAGGGGCCTTATCACGGTCGTCTGGCCTGGAACACTACAAGGCACAAACCTTGGGCTTGGATGGGACTTGGGCCTAGTGTCATAGCCTGACAAATCTTGAAGCTATCCCTCAATAAGGAAGCACTGGGAGGTTCTGGAGATTGCTGGAAGATTCTAGAACTCCCTAGAGCTTTGTGGAGAATTGTACATAAGTCTAGAAGCTTGTACGTAATTCTTGTATATTCTAGAATAGGTTCTTTGAGAAGATGAGGGAAAGATCTAGAACCCTCTCCATCCTTGTAATTCTAGAATAGTCTATAGGATGTAGTTGGAGGAAGTGTTCAGAATACTCTCCATCATTATAGTTCTAGAACATTCTTTGTAGCCTATAAAAGGGGGAGGGCTTCATTTGCCCAAACCATCCAAGTGTATCCAAAGCATTCTAAAGCAATACAAGCAAACATTCTCCAAGAGCTCTCTCTCTAATTTTCTCTAAGCTTTCTCTTGTGTGTGCAATCTTCTCCTAACTCTCTTCCAAGAAGGCTTACTTAGTTGCAAGCAAGGCGTGCATGAGCATCTAAAAGGCCGCACGATTGGCTTGGAAAAAACCAAGGCCATGACAGTTGGTATCAGAGCCAAGGTTATGAAGACATCGTGACTAAGGAAGGAAGAGCACCATGTCGAAAGTAATCCACACCGAGGAGATCCGAGGAAGGGAGACTACTGCTAATTTGGGCAAGAAGGCCAAAGACAAGTCACGCGACATTGTGAGCGCCATGGAGACCCGAGTGGTCAAGGTGGAAGTGGCCGTGGCCGATGTCACGGAGCAGCAAGATCGGTTAGAACAAGGGATGGAGCAACTTGATGGCAATGTGGGAAGCCAAGTGAAAGTTGCCTAGCCTCTTGGGTGTGCTTACTAACTGAGACTGCCTGAGCGGTCATCACAACCTTTCAGTTTCTCCTGATTGAGCAAAAGTCATAGAACATTGATTTTAGCACTCGAGTAGCCTTTCATCCAAGATCTATCACTTGATCAAAGAAGCTGTAAGTCTGTATTCACAACTCAAGTGGTGGTTAGTATAGACACCCCATTTTTTACCGTCCTTAAGACTTGGGTGCCACTGATTGCTTACTCGATGGTGCAGGCTATGCAGTGCAAAGGTTCAATTTCTTCGGCAAGAGGCGCTCTAAATCCCAAACCTCACACCCCATTTGTGGACCAAAACATTTTGACCAAAATGATTTTAGACCTTAAAACCCTCTCTTTCAAAATATTTTTGAAAAATGATTCTACGATGTTCTGAGGCTCGCATTTCGTTAAATGTTGCGCTTTTCGGTAAATTGAGCAAGGACAAAGTAGAAATGAATGAAAGAGATGTGAAATCTTTGAAAAATCTTTCAAAACACCTTATTTAGGGGTTTGGGGTTGAAGAAAAGAGGAGAGAAGGGAAGAAAACTAGATGCGGAGAAGTTAGGCATGAATCCAGTTGAACTGAAACTGAGCAGTCTTCACTAAAAGAGGGATATCCCTTAGCACACTTTGAATTTCAATGTAAGACTGCCACCATTGGAAATAAAACTTTTAGGGCTTCAATTTAGGCACAAGAATGACCTGAAAATGAATCCAGACGAAGTAGATATACCCATTTAAAGTTGGACCTGGAAAACAGATTTTTGCTGTCGGGCACTAGAGGTGACTAGTCGGCCAGAAAAGTGGGTTGCCGGCCATTTTAAGTGGCCGGTCGGCTACTAAAGGTGGTCGGTCGGCCACTTGTGTCCAAAACTCAGATATTTTGCATTTCCCCTCCAGCTGTTTTCACAATGTGCTAGTTGTCCTAATTTAGATATTTCGACCTGAGATTGTATTTTGCTATATATGGAGGCCATTCTCTATAGTTTAGAAGGTTAGAACATTTGAGGAAGAAAAGTTTGGGAGCCTCTCTCTCTAGAACCTCTCTCTCTACAATTCTCCCTCTCTCTACAATTCTCTCTCTCTTCTCTTGTTTATGCTTAAAAGTTATAATTCTCTACGTATTTGCATACAACCCCTGAACCAAATTGGACCACCTTAGAGCTTAGGCATCTTGGGACTTATTTTGGGCTGTTGGAAGGTCATTTGAGCCTAGAAAGTGGTTGTTTAAGTGTTGTGCTTCAAAAGTATAAGACTTACCTCATTTAAGCTCTTTGTACACTCTTGTCTTACCATCTTTTTATGCTATTTTGAGCTTAGTTTTCAACTACAAAAAGTTCTGATTTTTGGGCCTAAACATGTTGGATTGAAGCCATTTGGTGCTAAGGGGTTGTCAACCCTTCTTTGTTGCATATTTGTATCAGCCTTTGCCTCATCTTTTAGCATGTAAAAGTCAAACTTTTTGGGCCTTTAAACCACTAAAATTCAGAATTATTTCAGTGGTAAAAAGTATGTTTTGAAGTCCAAAAATGGAGGGGTTGGCCTCCCCTCCTTGTGTCTCTCTTCCATGCCTAGTTAGCATTACGTAGTAGCATGTTTTTGTGGCTTGTGTTAGCTTATTTCAAGCATGATTTAGGCTCTGTTTTGGCATGTTTCAACTCTGTTTTTGGTTGGTTGGTGCACCTGTTGCTTGCTTTTTGTACTTGTAGTGCAATTGTGCTTACTAGACTAACATGCCTAATGAGTTAGCCTATTTTTCTAGCTTGTGTTAACTTAAATCCAGCTTGTTTTAGCTACTATTTAGACCTACTTTAACTCTGTTTTGGGTTGGTTAAGTCCTTCGAGGCTTGTTTTGCATGGCTATAGTGTAACGGTCTTCACAAGTCCATTGTTTTGAGGCTTCGAGCATGAAGTGTTTGAGTAGATGTTGTAGCATCATTTTGCATGTAATTTCAGCATCATAATCTCTGTCACATGCTCATTTTTTTCACTCTTTCATTGCTTTTGAAAGTTGTGTCTTGAGTCTCATTTCCGAGCTAACATGTGAGCATGTTTTTCTAACCTTTTATGCTTCTATCTCAGCATGTTTTAGCCACTTTTTTGGTATGTTTCAACTCTGTCCAGAGCTGGTTTGGTCAATTGAACTTAGTGTTGCATGCTTATAGTGTTGCACTCTTCACTA